AACTTGTCAATTTCACCTCCATTCTCATACATCCTATAATTTTCGTTGTTCAACCAAACAATCTGACTTACTTTGTCTTATAAACTGATCATCGATATACTCATTCATAAACTCTTCTTATCAATCCTCAGCTTTACTCAAATATACAAATCTTTATTCCCTTTACTATACAACAGTACTATGATCCAAATATACAATTGTATCCAAATCCATTTCATATTTGGTTGTCTTATCATAACAACATCTCAAAATATTAAATTATATACCTTTTCCATCACATAATCTGGTTAGTCAATGCTAACTCTTTTCATCTAGAATGCACACCCTTATTATAGCCACACTCTTGCTTATACACAATATTATCCCTTTGTCTTAAATTCATAAACTCTATCTCCATATCTCTTATACACTTGTCACTGATGCACTTATTCTCGAACTTTCCAAAAATTCTAACCACATCATTATAGTGACACTTGCTCACTATATTCTATCTTATTCACTTTATAACAAAACTTCTTCGTATCACTTTTTCGATTCGAAATAGTGAGAACCTTTTATAACTATTCGAATATGATTTCAATTTCTGAAATCAACCTTTAATCTTATAAGACACTTTATGAGGTTTCTGCTCTTCATCCTGCCTGGCCAGGGCAGGTGAATTGCTATCACCATCAGATTTGTCAGCTATCGATTCACTTTGTCATTTCTTATAATCACATTTCTATTGTATTCTATTAAACTTATTCTATCAGCAAGACAGCATATTCCTTACAATTTCAGATCAGAATTTTTTTTTCTATTTTGTTGGCATGTATATATTATACGACACTCTAGACTCTGATTTATGCTGAGAATCGACTAAACCGTAGCTCTGATACCATTAAATGTAACATCCCCAACCCGTATCTGACCCGGATACGAGTCTGAAGTGTCACATTGACTTTTCAAACATTTATTCGTATAAAATAGTGAGTAATTTAAAAACTTTGATAACATTTAACTTATTCAAAACGTTTACAAAATATATCAGAGTTCATACAATTTATATCTATAGACTACATGCCAACTACACTCTATATACAGTACATATATTTTCTGATCTGACATTTGGTAAGGAGAACTGACCTGTCTTGCTCCGCATTACTCTTTACTCTTCTCGAAACCTACGTGTGAAACAATCACACGCTAAGTCGTTGACTTAGTGAGGCATATAAAACATATAATATTTCATATAACATAAATCATACATAAACATATACCATCATTATCATTAAGAAACACACATAACATCATATGGTTCATGTAACACATTTCAAACCACTTATAAACCCATCGTATACATATCACATTCAGTATGCTTGTTTAATCACTTTATTAGCCCATGTACACTAGTGAGAACTTAAGGTATGTGAGTACATTGAGGTTGTGCACACATATGCTGTCACCACAGCTTGATCAATGTCCCGAAGGACCAGTCCATAGATTCCGAAGAACCTAGGTAATCAGTCCATATGTCCCGAAGAACATAGGTAAACAATCCATATGTCCCGAAGAACATAGGTAAACAGTCCATATGTCCCGAAGAACATAGGTAAACAGTCCATATGTCCCAAAGAACATAGGTAAACCCTCGACCCTTGGCATGCCAACTATACCCCTAGCTCTCATATCACATAACATGTGCATTATCATTTATAACAGTTCACATTACTTATTCATATTCTTTCTCTTATAAACACATATCTTTTCTTTTCAGTCACGTATCACATGTACGTGTAATCATTGATCTCATAATCACATGTTCCCTCTCTTCTGTCACATACCACATATATGTGTAAACATATATCTAATATCATATGTTGCATGTAATCACATAGATCGTATCATATAGCTTCTTTCACGTATATATGTAATCACTTAGTCTATTTTCATGTAATTCTTTTCACTTCTCATATGATTTTATATTCATATCTCACAAAGCTCATATCACCTTGCATTGTTTCATATAAACATAGATGTCATATCTTGTTCGCATATATTTTCTATATAACTCATATATCTCATAGTTCTTTCACATAGCTCACTATCATATTTTCATATCATATATCTTATAATAGATTCTTATATCATCATTTGTTTCCTTTCTACCTATTCATAATCACATAACATATACAAAGCATATCATTATCTTTAGTCATGCATACATACAATCAATGTAATACAGATAATCATATATAATTATAACAACATATAATCATGTCCATGACTTCATGCATATTACTCTAGGAAATATACTCATCGCAAGTCTTATTTCCATTAAACACTACATATCACTAGTATGCACTCACCTTGGTCTCACTAGTCAATTCCAATCTCTTATCTTTCCCTTGATCGATCTTACTTGTCAAATGTTCTGGAATTGCTTTACGCGCAGAATCTACATAAATGTACATTTTGAGGCAATCATTAGATACCTACACATTGTAATTGGATACTAGCAACTTAAACAAACTTATTAAACCAATATTCACATTTTTCCTTTAGGGGGAATCGGTTCCCTCCTGTGGGGGTATCGGTTCCCCTCTGGCATTCTGGAATTCCATGTTCGTTTGAGGGGGTATCGATTCCCCTTGAATGGGTATCGATTCCCCTAGCCCAGAAATCCTATTTTGAGCTCGAAATTCACTTCATTTCAGCTTAAACCTTCATATTTTACTTCCTTTAATATTCCTAACTTCCATACACATATTTAAACTCATTTCTATTCCATAATCACTTCTTTAAACCCAAAATTCCATCATTTACATGGCATTCAAGAATCACACTAAATTTTCAATATGTTCTAATTCCAATTCTAACACTTCATACTTCTTAATTAGATTGATGACAAGTCAAATTCATCCATAAAACTTCAACAACCATACCATATCAAAATTTCATCTTAAAACTCATATTACAAATTCCTTCTTAATTCCTTTATCTTATTGTTTAAATCTCATATAAGCTTTCCTTAAGCTTATTTAATACCCAAAGAATCAAAACTAAGCTTAAAACTCAAGAATTAACCAACTGAAATTAAACTTACCTTTGCCATGGAGCTTACGGGAAGAGAGGAGGAAGGAGATGACCCAGCTCCAGAACTTTCTTTTCTTCTCACCCTTTCCACGTTTTTATCACCTTAAAAGAAAGATAAAAATCTTTCTGGTCAAATGACCATTTTACCCTTAATTTCCTTTAATAATTACTAAATAACCTTCAACATATATTTCCAATAATCATTAAATTATTTCATTCTTCTACGTTAGTCACCAAATTCTGAAACTTTTCAATTTATTCACTAACTCGGTATTGCGGATGTTACAATCATGATCTTTAAAAAAAATCAAATATATAAAAAATATGAAAAAATCTAGTTATATTTGTACGTGAAATATACTCATGTCTTAAGACCGGAGTTGTTTTAGTTGCATTGTTTCGTGTTGGACCGTCGTCTCTTGTTGGCGAGCCTTTCGGGTGTCATCCTCGTCGAGTTGGAACAATGTTATAAATTCAATTGGAAAATTATTCTCTTTTTACATTTTGGCCTTTTCTTTTTCCAAATTTGCCAATCGATCATGACACCTAGCATCTTTGTAAGCATTCCGGTCTACCAATGGTGGGTTGTATTAGCCATATACAGAACTTCCAGTGCTTTTGAAAATTACTTACTAGCATCCACGTAGAAAGGCAAGTCATGTAGCTGGAAATTTGTATACTTTCTATGTAAAATTTTACTCCACGGTACCCTAAAAAAATCACCTCTGTATTATTTCATGTGAGTTATAAATCTTTATCGATGGGCTTAAATGTCCCGTTGCCACCTGAACTATACCATTTGTGGGTTCATATATATGTAAAAATACATATATAAATAATTGAGAGACCAAAATGCAGTAAAAAGTTAAATTTAATGATGGTTTTCAAGGATAAAATAGTTGGGTGATCAAAATAAAATCACATAAATAATTAAATAACTAAATATGTAATTTACTCATGTGTTTCTTAATAGAGATAGTGATTTGGGTAAACGGGACAACGATTTAAAATTGGGGGACAAAACGTCCCGAGAAATAATTTAAGAGGTAACTCGGTACAAATAGTATAATTCAATGAGTAATTTAAGCCTTTATCGATGTTATATCCTCCACAAGTCTATGATACTTTGCTGAAACCTCTTTCAGTTCTTATCGTTGAAGATAGTGACAATTTTAAAAATGCTTTTTTAAAAGTAAATATATACATAATAATAACAGAATTTTTTTCATATAAAAAATAAATAAAATTTCAAAATAAATATTATTATAAAATAAATAATTAATATAAAATTTAGATTTTATAGTAAACACGAGTCCATCTTAAATAATTCCTTGCATCTGCCCACCGGGGCTTGTATAAATTCAAGAAAGACAGTACAATCTCTGTTCCAAGTATCGGGTCTGTTTGTCGGAATTACACGAACTATGTTTTCTCTACCGTCATCCATGTTACTTGAGGATTATCAAAAAAGGAGTCTTCTTTGGGGGTGGGGGGAAATTAAAAAGAATCCTTAGTAGCTGTTTTCATTCTCTTTGTCGTCTTCCATAAAAAAAAAAGGTTACAAAATTTCTGTTGATTTTACTATAATTACATAAATTGGATTAAACTGTGAGATTCTAATGATTTGAGACATGGGTGTTTGATTACACATCCGAAGATGGTAAAATGAACAGAAGTTTTGTAACCTTGAGAATGAAAACAGCTACAACAGATGAAACAATCATGCATTAATGGGAATCTAAAGCCTTGTAGGATTGAACAGCGCTTTGGTTTATTTGTACATGGTTCTTAGGTTGCCTTATTAAAGCCCGTGTCAACGAACCAAGTTGTCTGGGCCTTGCAAAGCTTGTTCTTTTCGGCCCGACCTAATATTGAAATTATTAATTATTGTCTTCTCCCTCGTAATAAAATTAGTTCTGTAGGGTTTTCAATTCTCTATTTCGATCTTCCTCCGCTCGCCCCCATCATGGGAAAGAAGAAATCCAAAGAACCAGTCACGGTGGCCGTATCAGATCCCGTTTCATCTCGATCTGATGTCTTTAAAACCATCTTCGGTGACGTTTCGCAGCCAGACGCCGCCGTTTCTTCCCTTTTCTCTGATGACAATCCATTCAAAAGAAAACCCATAGAATCCGTTGAAGACCCTAAAAATGTTGATTCATTGGATTCGGTTGCACCGCCATTGAAGAATGGGAAGCGGAAGGAGAAAGAGAAAGCTGAAATCCGCACCTTGGGTTCAACCGGAGAAGCAACCGGGGCTCATAAATCAAAGAAAGGGAGGAACCCAGGAAACCTAAATTTGGGTTCTTCAGATAGCAATTTTGGAAGTTCGGTTCTTGATGCAAAACGCGAATTAAGTGAGGAAAATAAGGAAACACCCGAAAGCCTAAAAGGCCTGAAAAAGAAGAAAAGGAAGAGGGACGAGGTGGAGAAAGAGTATGAGGAAAGGAAATATGGGGCGGTGGCGGTGGCGGTGGCGTCAGATGCCGAGGAGAAGGTGGTTGTGGGGCAGAAGAGGAAGAACCCGGAGGACGTTGGGGTGGTTGCTTCGGTTCCAAAAGAAGGATTTGACGATGAAAGTAAACTTTTGAGGACTGTATTTGTAGGAAATTTGCCTATTAAAGTGAAGAAGAAAGTGTTGATAAAGGAGTTTAGTAAGTTTGGAGAGATTGAGTCTGTTAGAATTCGATCTGTTCCTTTAAATGATGTGAGTTTTTTGTGATTCTTTCTGCTCTTTTGTCTCATGAGTCTTTTAAGTTAATGTTTTTTCTAATTTTTTTTCTTTCCTGTCTAGACTAAGAAGCCGAGAAAAGGAGCTATAATGTTGAAGCAAATTAATGACAAAGCTGATAGGTAAGTCTTTAATTCAAAAAGGAGCTACAAAATACACTTTCGGATCGCTAATGTTATTGTACACATAATATTTTATATTTGTACATTGTTCGAAACTATGTTTACATTGACACTGTATTCATTTATGGCTTCTAGTAACTTGCTTCTGAATACGTGTGATTGGTTTACTCTATTATCTCCTTTGTTTATTTGATTTAAACGACTCTCTGTTAATCACTAATGTTGCTTTTCTTTGCAGTGTCCATGCATACATTGTTTTCAAAACAGAGCAATCTGCTGAGGAATCTTTAGCCAACAACATGGCTGTGGTATGTTTTATTACTACTGTTATCGGAACAATTGTAATGCTTAAGGTGAAGATGCAATATATTGATTCTATTGTTGTTTTCGTGGATATAGATTGCAGGAAATCACATTCGTGTTGATAGGGCATGCCCACCAAGGAAAAAGTTGAAAGCAGAGAGTGCTGCTCCTCTCTATGATAACAAGAGGACTGTTTTTCTTGGTAATCTCCCATTCGACGTGAAGGTGATCATTTCTGCCTGATTTTTTCTTTATCCTGGTTCAAGTATGAGATTAATTTTTTTTCATGCCAATAGCATATGATCTGAATGCAAGGTTAAAACTTATTGCAGGATGAAGAAATTTATCAGTTATTTTGTGGTATCAATAATCTGGAGTCTAACATTGAAGGTGTCCGGGTTATTAGAGATCCTCAATTTGGCGTCGGCAAGGGTATTGCTTATGTCTTGTTCAAAACAAGGGTATGTCTACTCTTTTTCTTAATTTTTCAGGCCTATATTTATCAAAACATTTTATTTCTGGTTTAAAAATAGTGTTCGGTTGATCATTACCTTATGAAACATAGTGACAGTATTGAACTGTAAACCGGATCTTCTTGTTGTTATCCATTGCATTGCTGTTTGACTTCAATGCTATCCAATCTAGTTTCGGTATTGTAATAGTTTGATTACGTGTATGCATAGAGTTTGGTCTTGATATAAATTTCTCTATCTGTTATGGCATGTGTTAATGTTAGCTACAGAGGATGTAGATTACTTGTCATACAAATTACTGTTGTCCATTGTGGATGCAGGAAGCGGCAAATTCGGTTGTTAAAAAACGAACTCTGAAGCTTAGGGATAGAGAGCTTAGGATTTCTCATGCCAGACCGGATGCCACCCCATCTAAGAGAACGAATCAATCATCTTCAAGGGATAGTACCCCAGCGAAGAAGTTTGCAGTTGGTTCAAGTACTCCCTCAACTAATGACAACAGATCAAATACAAAAACTTCTTTGTCATACCAGGGCTTGCGTGCTAGCAAATCAGGTAGCGAGAAGAAGACAGTTCGTTCAAAGGGAACTATTGGCCCTGTAAAAACGAAATTTAAAGCTCAGAAAATGGATAAGACGAAAGAACGCATGACCAAGAGACCAACCGTTGCTGCTAGAAAGGCTAAGACAAAAGCACACAAGGATGGCAGTGTTCCCAAGCAAACAGGTGTAAAACGCAAGCTGGACAGCTTCAGTCCGGGGAGTGGTTCCCATCATAAGAAGAAAGGCAGAAAGTTTAAGTAGGAACAGAGAAGGAAGACCTTGTATCATGCTTTGATTAATAGCTCCAACCCAACAGAATTATTGTACAATGTCAAATTTGTCATGATTTTCTCGTTTGAATTTGCAGCAACAACTTATAGTGTTAAATTATTAAGCATAACTGGGTTTTCAGAAATAGATAATTCTATTACCCTATGAACTGTTTTTGTTGAAGTTGAAAGCTTGGAATGTGTTGGAAAATAAACACAGCATGTATCATTATTTTCTTCGTATGGAAAACGATAGCACTAATGACGAAAATGTAGCATAAGTTGTCTAGGTAATTTGTTTCATCCTGTAGTTATTATCTTATCCACTTTTACATTAATGTTCTAGTTGCTGTTGCTGTTGCTGCTGAAGGTTGATCAACTTAAAATATGGCCCGTCTTTCTTTTCTATCAGACTAGAATGAGTCCCTTGCTCTATTATTTTTCCTCCTTGTATAACTGATATTTTGTCTGCATTTTTAATAGTCGACAGCCTATGTGCCACCATAACTGTTGTTCGATTTCTCATTAATCTGTCGAGAGCTTGTTGCACCACATGCTCCGACTCCACGTCTAAAGCACTGGTGGCTTCATCTAGTAGCAAGATTTCTGGGTTCTTCAGAACAGCTCGAGCAATGGCTACTCTCTGTTTCTGACCACCAGATAGTTGCACTCCTCGTTCACCGACTTTGGTTGAGTAACCCTCAGGGAGGGAACTTATGAATCCATGTGCGTTGGCTAGCTTAGCTGCTTTAATTATTTCTGATTCTGAAGCCCCTTCTTTTCCATAAAGGATGTTCTCATAAATTGATGTAGCAAAAAGTGCTGGTTCTTGTTGGACTAGACCCACGTGTTTCCGAAGGGATTTGAGTTTCAGTTTCCTTATGTCTCTCCCTGTAAGGATTTGACAAGGATTTAAGTGTATGCACGGTTGAAATAAGTATTTTACTAGCTGGATTTCAAGATTTTCGAGAGAAAACTCACCATCAATAATCACTTTCCCAGCTGTTGGATCATAGAATCGAAGTATAAGAGCAAGAACCGAACTTTTACCAGAACCGCTTTGCCCCACCAGCGCCATACTCTTCCCTGAACGAACTTTTAGGTTGAAGCCGTTGAAAATGACTACGTCTGGCCTCGATGGATAACTAAACTGGACACCCCTTAGCTCAATTGTACCTTCCACATTTGTTAGTTCTTCTCCGGCATCCCCAGCGACCTGCGTCTTCCGGTCCATTATCTCAAACACGGATGCCACCATTTGGTTCCCCTTTAGAAGATCTGGAACCAATGCCAAAGTTTCTCCCATGGCTAGTGCCGTTATAATCAAAACCATAAATGATTTCATGACAGATTTAAAGCTAGCTAGCTCCTTCCCCATTAATACAGAACCATACCTGAACAAATTAACGGCAAGGTACTAGTTATTGCAATGCGCATTGGCTCATTGATTAACTATTATGAAGCTCAACCATCATACCATAAGCCAAGGCCATAAGATGAGAAGATGAAGAACTGGGAAATGCCGTAGAATATCCCGGCGATTTGGCCTCGGTTAAATGAACGCTTTGAAGGCTCCACCAGCTCACGGGCATAAAGATCAAGGATCTTCTCCTCTGCACAAAATGCAGCAACGGTTCGAATATTGCTGACAGCCTCACCGGCAAGCATGTTTGCTTTTAGATATGCTTTGCTCAAGTTACCTCCATAGCCTTGCATGAATAGTTTCTGAATGATAGGAAGAATATCACTATATATATTCCTATCTAAAACCTTTTGAGTTTGTATAAATTAACGTTGGCAAATGTGCAAACCTCGCTAATGTGACCACTGGTGATCAATGGGAAAGTGGCCAAGATAACAAGTGTGATTCTCCAGTTTAAGATGAATGCAATGATGAAGGCGGCAACAACCAAACCTAAATTCTGAATGAGAATCGATGTCCGGTCAACAACTATGGCTTTTAGAAACGTTGCGTCACTCTCTAGGCGTGATGCAAGCATGGAACTCGAGTTGTTTAGGTCGTCGAACCATCCGATTTCGTTCTTCAAAATGGCTGCAAAAGTAATTTAAAGAACACACGAGTACATGACCTTTTCAGGTGGCAAGGAAAAGGAAAAGTTCAACAATATCGAAAGATTGCTCGGATTAGATCACATATTACCAGAAAACATCACTTCACGCACACGAAGAGTGAGGCGCTCTCCCATGATGCCGAAACATAGGTGCTCGATAGCATGAACGATGACGGTTATAACTGCAGCACAGCAAAATAGTATGGAAATCTTCTTGACTTCACGGCACGTTGTTTCCCAGCCCATGTAATAGGCTACAAGAGCTTGAGAAACCCCTAGAGCAAAGAGAGGCATCTGAGCTCCAGCAATCAATGCTGCAATGGTGCCAAAGACCCCATAAGACCAGTCGGGTCCTATCATAGAATACAGTCTTCTCGGTGAAACAGGCTTCCATGTATCGAAAGCTTCATCCTCTACATGGCTTAGTATTGAGTCCTTATCGGAACGAAAACTTGTGCCGAAGCTTGTCCTTGTTCGGGATAATTCTCGTGAATAATTTGAGCTATAAAGAAGTTAAGGTGGGGAAAAACAAACAAAGTTCTGATTAATGCATTGTTCTTACTAGAACAGCACAAGCAAAGCATGGTAGAATGTCAGAGGCAAAGTCATTTCACTGTTAATGTACCTGAGTTGCGTACGGATTGTGTTACTATGAGAGGGGTATCGTTGCAACGACGCCGTCTCTTGAAGCTGAACAAGCGACGAATATGCACTGTTAGGATTTGAAATGAGCTCATCATGGCTGCCTGTTTCTACTATCTTCCCACTTTGAACAACAGCTACCACGTCTGCATTCCTAATAGTAGAAAGCCGATGAGCCACCACGACCGTGGTTCGTCCCACCATCACACGATCAAGTGCCTCCTGGACACTATTCTCAGATTCTGCATCAAGTGCACTTGTTGCTTCATCAAGCAGAAGTATAGACGGATTCTTCAATATCGCTCGAGATATCGCAATCCTCTGCTTCTGTCCACCTGATAGTTGTATTCCTCTCTCACCAACCTGCAATTCCAATGCGATCACTTAGAGAAGTGACTCTATTGTACATGCTACCAGTGGTAAATGAGTACCTGAGTCTCAAACCCATCAGGGAGATTATTGACGAACGCGATGGCCTCCGAAAGCTTTGCGGCACGCGTTATCTCTTCGAGTGTAGCATCATCTTTCCCGTAAAGAATGTTCTCCCTAATCGTGGTTGCGAAAAGTGCTGGTTCCTGATTAACCAAACCAATTTGCTGTCTTAGCCATTTGAGATCAAGGTCCCTAACATTGTACCCATCCAACAAAATTTCCCCTGCATTTGGCTCATAAAATCTCTCAATCAATGATATGACTGTACTCTTCCCAGAGCCACTCCCTCCCACGAGAGCTACAATCTTGCCAGCAGGTATGTTAAGGCTGAACCTATCGAAGATTACGACATCAGGACGTGATGGATAACCGAACGTCACGTCCTTGAATTCTATGTGACCCTCCACTTTTTCAAGTCTGTAACATGTGTTGGAGCTGGTTTTGCTTACTGTGTTCCTCTCTATCATTTCGAATATTGGATACGCAGCCACCCTTGCTCGAATAAACGCCGAGATGTCCGGTGCCGCCAGTCCTAACGACCTGCAAAAAAACCAAGTAATTACTACAAGTTTTCAGAACATCCATATATTGGATATTTCACAAAACTTACAGGCCGGAGATGACAACATTAAGCATGGTTGTGAACGAATCGCCACCGTTTGCGATGTTCTTGTGAACAACTATACTGGTGAACCAAACCAGCAAAGCCCAGGAAACGAAAAGCACACAATGCATTGAACCAAGTCCGAGCCCCTTGGCTAAGCCGGCGCTTCTACCGTACTTGTATGTGTTCATCAATGCTTCTTTGTATGACTTCACCGCCCTTTCTTCCCCGGCAAATGCTTGGACCGTTCGAACATTTCCGATCACCTGAAAAGTCAAGTCACATAATCTTCTCCGATCATTTTTCACGTAAAATGTCTTGATGCATGGGAGATTGGGAAAAAAACCAACCTCTTCGGCAATTTCACCGGCTTTGACATAGGAGTTTCGAACTCTAGCAATAAGACCGGTAGCTACGTAAGCGTAAAGGCCACCGGCGACGGCAATCAACGGAACGATCGATAGTGTCACCAAACTGATCTGCCATACCCTGGCAAAACCGATAATGAAGCCTACTATAAACCTGCTAACGTAATGCATGAAATTCCCCACCTGACATCAATTAAACTCAACAATGGTTAGCATGCACCACAAGAAGTTGGTATATTATCCATAAACACTTTCAATTAGCAGTTTAATACAATTACATGATTCTTTTTAAGTGTCCAAATTCCAATTCTTAATTTCTGTAGTGACTTTTCTTTGTTCAAAATATGCGGCGACCATTTAATTAATTGCAGTTGCAATTATCAAATTTGTATCCAAAATGTTTCATTGTGCAATAAATAGGTAAAGAGCCGTCTCTGTCCTTTGAGCTTACGTGTTGTATTAACATACACGTGTCATGCATTTATGAATTATCACATTTAATTTCAACCCTATTTACTCCCTCAGGAAATTGAATGATGATATGATTAAATTAGGAGATTAGAGAATAGAAGCCAAATCTAAAATTTATACATGAAATAAAAATTAATTATAAAATTTGATTTAATATATTTGAAGATTTTTACTTTAAATACAATCGATTTAGATTAAAGTACAATAGTTAAAATTTAATAGATTAAAGTATAATGATTAAAATTTAAAATTATAATAGTTAAAATTAATATATTTGGAGATTAGTTGTTTGCAATGAAATGTGAACAACCAACTGACTAATAATAAATGTTGTATTAAATCTTTTCAATTTTCTGTATGAATGCAAAATCTACTCTTTGCTTTGATACTATCAACTGTGGTTGCCATTGCAGATGAAGAAACGTAAAAGCTGCGTCAGATCACAGTAATTCTCGTGGGATTGTCGGCTTTGTTTTCATCTTCTTCCTTTTTTTCCCCTTACAGTTCCTTATATTATTTAATTATATAGTTTCATCGTTTTGCTGTCTCAAACATGTAATTAATAAGGAAAATGGGAATACCTTCTCAGAAAGAGCATCTTGAACGACAATAATATCACTTGTAATTGCAGAAATTACTTCTCCAGTTGAAGCTTCTGTGTCGAAAAAGCTTATGTCTTGTTTTAGCATAGATTTCAGATATTCCATCCTCATTTTCGCTGCTTGTCGTTCTCCAGTATGCATCCAACAAGCCACCTCTACATATATATATATATATATCATCAAAGTTTTAGTTTAAAAAGAGTAAAATTTGATGAATTTAAGGAGTTTTAACTAACCTATCCATGAGGAAAACAATATAGCCACGCTCAGATATACAAAATCCAATGAGTACTGTACCCAAAAAGAAAAAAAAGATTGTAATATGTAAGGATCTTTAGGGTTTAATCAACAAAAATGTAAAGAAGTTTTTTTTTTTAATGTACCTTTGCGACTCTGTGAGAAGCTTCTTTAGGGAAGAGATAAGCCATTCCAGCAACGTTAATCAGCTTCCCGAAGAAGACGAAGAAAACAGGAACAGATGCACCATGCACGCATGCACCGATGGAACCCAAAGCCATGAGCACGTAGTCGTAAAAGTCTGCAAATGAAAACAACTTCAGCAATGGAACTTTCTTCTGCTTCCTCTTTTCTTCCTTCTTCTTCGTTTCGTCACGGTCTTTGTTACTCGAAGGTCTCATTTTTGCCCCCAAAAAAACAGCAGAGAAGTTGCAGAAAATGAAAGAAATATAGTGAAAGAGAAGCTTTTAGGAACTGGGAACTGAAGGAAAGGGATAAGGCCTTGAGAATTTATTACAAATCTTAAACTACATGTAGTATCAACTTTTTAAAGTGATTTCCTTCCGACAGTGGGAAGTAACCGTGACAATATATTTGTTAAGAGTTTATTCTCTTGTAAATAAGGAGAAATTATTAAATAATTTCGGTTTATCTAATCATAATATTTGTTTATATTATTTTTTAGGTAATATATTTTATATTTTTTTACATATAAATAGAGATGGAGAGTTATTTAAAAGATATTTTAAAACTTGTAGTTCTTATTTACTGGGGTCATGAATGACGTGGTGAGCCAAGTCTATCAAATAATTTCTCATAAATAAGATATTCAATAGTTTCTCATAAATAAGATATTCAAACGATTAAAAAATAACAAAATATTTAAATTTATTGAGTGACTTAAATGATTTCAAGTGATTATATTTATAGATCATCACTGAAGACTATTATAAAGAAAAATAATTATGTAATAAATGGAGAGATGTAAGGAATCTTCAAAAATTAAATTATTTAAGATTATGATTATGCAATAGATTTTCAAAATATATCGGATAAAATTATTTTAGGCATTTATATATATAGATATAAACGTTCCGTTAAATTCATCTATAACTATTATTTAGAGTTTGATCAAGAATAGAGATTAAAAAATTATCTTATATAATTACTCTATTAATTTCGTACACGGATATTGAATGACCTAAAAAAATTAGAGTGGTGTAGGGGTAAAGTTGTCGTTTGTTGATATTATAAAGATTTGGATTATATATGATCTATTTTTAAATTTTATAAAAATAGAATGGATTTGTGTTCAAACTATGGGTGTGAATGATTTGTTTAATTGAGAGTCGATTTGCATGCGAATGCAAAGAGTGCCACCAATGCGTTTGTAAGGTTTGGTTTTCAGCCATGCTTTTGGTTAGGGAACAGTTGAGATGGACCATGCTCTCATTTAATGTAGCCATATCATTCTTTAACCATGTGAATATATATATATAAAGTCAATGGGTAGGGTCAAGGGACATATGTAATTTACTTGGAAAAAGGATGGTGTTATGGAACAATTGGGACATATATAATTTATTTAGGCCATGCAATTCAGATGAAAGGGTTATGCCCCCATTCTCCCAATGTTGTCTTGATGTCCTCGATCACGACTATTCCCGATACAATTTTAATTTAAGACTATGTAAAATTAAGTGTCTCAATTATATCTGAAGTTAACTTTAGATGTCTATTGAAATGTTCGAAAAAGATAAGTGTCTGGCGTTTCTAATGTTATACTATTAGGTGCCTACACTATAACAACTGTTAAAAAACTGTTAAGTGACGAGTGTTATATTTATATATTTTTAATTTTTTATATTTTAGAACAAAATATTTAAAAAAAAAACTTTCATTCCAAAAAAAAAAACCTAACCTCAAAATCCTTCATTCCAACACCTATTATCAGCCTTTACTGATTGTTACAACTATTATCATTCGTCGTTGAACAACCACCTATCCATCATCGATTGTCATTACTCTCCGCTTCTCATCGCCACTTCCATCTCTTCAAAAAAAATCTATCATCGTCATTTGACAAAACCATCCTTCAAAAAACTCATCATTACTCTCCTATCTATCAACTGTCGTCTCCCATCTCCACCACCACATCATTCCCTATCCAAAAATAAGAAAATACTATAGCAGTTTTGATATTAGAGTTAAAGATTTAAGTTTAAAGATTTATAGCTTTAGAGGGATTGAGACGATGACAAGAGGCATGATTGGCAATGGAAGTTCTGCGATGGATGTGTGGTCATTCGACGATGGAAAAGGCGGACAGTGATAGTCGTCGAAGGTTGGTATATAGGTTGAAATGAGTGATTTTAGGGTTTCATAGGTTTTTTTTAATTTTAGAAAAAATATTTTTAATTAATAATATTCTTAAGTTTTTTAATAAAATGAAAAATTCAAAAAATATATATATGAGAGTGACACATGCCTCTTAACGATTTTGTAATAGTCTTTACGACCTAAGTACCTAAAATTGTAACGTTTGAAACATAAAGACACCTATTTTTAACAAAAAAATTCTTTAGACACCTAAAATTAACTTTGGGTATAGTTTAGACACTTGTTTTTACATTAAAATTTAAATTAAATGAATTAACAAAAACATATATTTAAGTAACTTATAGTTAAATTTAATTAAAATTTTCTATTTAAATATGTATTTTTAATTTATTTAAATTTATAATTAATACCCAAAGTTTATGACTACCCTTTTAACAATGTTACTTTTAGTGTTCAAAAGGTTACTTTGATCATTAACTAAAACGAATTACCTAAAATCAAATTATTTAATATTTTTCTTAATTTTATTTACTAATTGAATCAATTTTTACAAAAAATTATTAATTGAGTGAAATAAAATTCATTTAATTCGTTCGATTTTTTTATTAATCTATGGTGCTTACAAGTGGTAATATATGTTTTAAATACTCTAAATCATTTGATATAAATGTTCAAATACCTTACAGTCTTTAATGCTCGAATCTGAGACATTTAAGAATAACAATTATTACTTTAATTATTGAGATAACTTGATTTGTGCAATTCATTTAATTTTTGAATTAACTGAAAATTGTTATAAATTATGGCATATGAGTATCCATTAGGATATGTCTATTTTCTTTACTTTTATTGGATAATTTATGACATGTGAGTATTTTTTTTCTTTTGGGTTTGTGTGCAGTAACGGGTCTCATGATTTTAATGGGTATGGGCTTAAAAAATATGTAATATATATTTAATATTTTTAAATAATATAGTTAAGTAGTTGGTTTAAAATCAAATTAACCAATAATTGAAATTTAATTTTTTTAACTATTCTTTAACCAACAAATTTCACAGATTGATTTTTCAATCAAATTAATTTGATTCCATCAATTAATTTGATTTTAAATATTAACATATTTTTAGTATAATTATTATATATTTAAATTTTAAATTGTAACTTTTATTATTATTAAAGTAACTTATTATATATTGAGTTTGATTTTAAATCATTAGGACCATGTTAGGATCATTTCTTATTATATATTTCATCATTTGCATCATGAGAGCGAGTTGGTGGAAGTTGGTTTGATTTTAATGTTTTGTGCTAAAAATTGGTACGCTGATGTTGTGGCATTGCTTGAAGCTGTAGGAGATGTTGTGGTGCAATGCTATGCCAGATTACCAAACAAAACATGCAACAATTGGTGACTCACCAAGTGATTTAAATAACCTTATGGAATGAACAACTGGAAAAGGGCAGCTGTCAATTTGATCTAGAACCACCTGAAACGTGGAGAAGAAACATTGGTTGAGGGTTTATTCCCTTAACCTATAAATAGGAGAGCATCTTATTCCATTGGATCATCAATTAAATTACCTCCAACTTTTCTCTCCATTATATTCGATCCATGATGCAGCCTAAGTCCTTCGTTGGGGGTGCAATAACAGTAGTGGAGTAGCGGTGACTGATTTGGGGTTCAACTTTGTTTAGTGTTATTTGCTTGAGAGAGGAATACACTTTGATAAGTTTGGATGATTACTGTTATGTTTTTATTTGGTACCGAACATAAGGTGCTCAATGAAATAGTTTTTATTTTAGCTATATGTTTATGAGTTGAATTTTAATTGGATGTTTTTATAGATAAATGCATTTTTATGTGTGCTAATTAAATCATATAGAGATGTATGATACCGATTGTTATGTTTTATTAATTGTTTAATATATGGTTTTGATGAGAATTAACTCCATTGGATTAATTGTTTAATTCTTGAGAAATGATTAACGTGTTAACCGCCACATAACTCATAATTGTATTGCCACATCATAACCATAAGGTAAACAACCAAGTAATCACAACATTCTTAGGTCAATTGGTCTAATTTCTTTACTATTTGTTGTAGTATTCCTCTACTTCCTTTATTTTGATTTCTTTATTTTGCTAGCTGTTTATTATTTTACCACTTCAATCGTATATTTTTCTAACATTTACCACACAAATATTGTGCAACAAATTGCTCTATGTGGGATTCGACACTCGTAGCTTTTTGAGCTACCACTTTATTACTTGAACGATAGTATATGCCTGCACTTTGCTGTAGTATTTTCTTAGCATCAAATTTTTGGCACCGTTGTCGGGGAGCAATGGTTTTGCATTAGGGTTAATTTTTTATTTACTTATTTGTTTCTTTTCTTTTTATAGATATTTATCATTTTTCTAGTTTTGTTGGTTTATGTCCCATAGTGACAACGATCTAGAGCATATTGATCCGAAAATTGAACAAAATTTTATCTCCTTTGGAGAGAATGTGTTAGAAATCGAGCAAACATGAATGATGGAATTGGTAATAATGCTCTACCTCCACTCTAGTATGAAAATGATGATATGTAATAAACTGTTAGATACCAACTGGAGCTGGAATCAACCAACAACAATATTATAACATGGGCGGTCTCAATCAGCCTATTCGGGAGCATGTGGTGCTAACGCTCGATGATTTACATCCAGACATTGTATAACCAACAATTCATGCTGCCAATTTTGAGTTGAAATCGTTGATGCTTTAAATGTTACAATCTATGGGGCAATATAGTGATTCATTCACCAAAGATCCTCAAGCACACCTTCGAACATTTATGGAAATATATGATTCATTTGTTCAACAAGGAGTCCCCAAAGAAGCATCAAAGTTGAAGTTGTTTCCGTATTCCCTAAGAGATAAAGCCAGAGCATGCTTGAATTCATTGCCACCTGGTGCTATAGCATCTTGGAACGAGTTAGCACAAAATTTTTTAAATTGATTTAATCTGCTGAATACGAATACAAATCTAAGAAACGACTTGACATATTTTAAGCAATTAGAAGATGAGAAATTGTATGAGGCATGAGAGAGATTCAAAGACTTACTGCATAAATGTCTGATACATGGATTCCCACATTGGACGCAAATGGAAATGTTTTATAATAGGTTGAATATGTAAACTTGTATGATGGTGGATGTTTATGCCAATGGAGTATTATTGGATAAGATGTACAATGATGCTTATGATATTCTAGAGAGAATATCAAACAATGACTACCAATACCCCAATATGAGGAACATGTTTGGCAGACGCAATGCTGCAACAATAGATATAGATGATTTAATTTCCATGGTTTCTCAAATCTCAGTATTAACAGATATGGTCAAAAAGCTACAGAAACCAGGGGGTATCTATGAGGTAAAAACTACATCTATTTTTTTTAGTGTTTATTGTGGTGATAATCATAACTATGAAGAAATCCCTAAAAACCTCGAATCCGTCTACTATGTGAGGAACTATAATAGGAATCCCAATTCCTATGTTAACACTTATGTTGAGTTAATTGATCGATGGAATCGACCAAGAGGGGGGTGAATTGGTAATTAAAAAAATGGTGGAAGCTTTTGCAGAAATTGAAAGTAATTGTACAGTGATTTAGAGTGGTTCGACTTTCTCAACCAAAGTCTACGTCTACTACCTTAGCTATCTACACTACGGATTTTCCACAAATTCACTAATTTGTCTTTCTTTTGAGGACAAAGAGTAACCTTACAAATCCCTCAAGAATTATACCCCAAATTCTTGAGAACACTCTCTCCCAAAGAGAACAATACAAATTTTGCAAACTTAAAAGAAAATCCTCACAAGGCAAGATGTTTACACAATTCTAGAACAAGAAAGAACACTCAAGAATAATACAATTGAGCACAATAAGTGTTCTTGAAAGCAAAAGTTAATATTGAATGAAATAGGCTTGAAAATTCTCAAACTTGAGGTTTGATGCTTTCTCTTTGATTCTCTCTTAATTCTTGTTGATTGTTGTTTCTTGTTCTCAATCAATGGCTTCTAAGCTTGTTTAAATACTCCTTCAATTGATTCTGAACGTTGAGGATGGTTAGTGGAGTAAATGGAGTCGTTTAAGTGTGAAAACAATTAATAAAACTGCTTGAAGCATGGGGGGAATCAGTACCCCCTCATAGGGAATTGGTTCCTGCAGTGTAAAATTCAAATATTTCGACCGTTGAAATTCTGTTATTTCTCGGAGTCAAACTATTCAGGGGGAATCGGTTCCCTCTGGGCAATCTGCCTATTTTGGTTTGATTTTAATTAAGAAAGGATTAAAATGAACTTTGAAAGACTTGGAGTAATTTTTGATATTCGAATAATTATATCGAATATACTTAGAAAATCTTTTGTAAAATCTTAAAATTCATTTAACTTAATTTGTTATATCGAAATATCAAAATGTTTTCAACAATCTCCCGCTTTTTGGTATAACAAAACATTTTAGTAATTTTAAGATTTTATAATTGAAAATAAAGTTTGAAATCAAGTTTTGAAATTACTCCCCCTTACTTTAACACTTCTCCCCCTTTTTGTTAAATCAAAAAGACTCTAAAACGTTCTTAAACAAATTTTTTAAAACTGTAGCCAACTGAATTAGAAAAATTAAATCTCTAAGCTGCTAAGAACACAATCAAAAGATATATTAGCCATTATCTTCATAATCAATATTCATAAACGAATGTGAAATGGTGAAATTGGTCATATATCTAACATGATGTAAATGATGCACAAAATTAAAATTTAAGCAAATCCACATATATAGATAAGTTCAAATCATCCAAAAGCAATATTAAACAAATTTAAACATCCAACAACCAAAGTAAGACAATCCAAAAGCATTAAAAATGTTGAAAACAATAAGGTCAAAGCTAAGAAAGAAAACAGGGCCTAATCGTCCATCGGTGGATCAGGAGGAGATAAGTGTGTCCAAATGTTGGCCACATCACATGAAAGTGCATCGACCCTCTCGTCCAAAGTGTCGAAACAATGATTCATCGTTTCGTTGGTAGTAGTTAGATGTGATTCGATTGATGTAAACCTCATATCAAGATTCTCCATAAATGATCGAAAGTATGGAGGTACTTGATCTTCTTGTTGTGCTTGTTCCTCGTGCTGCTCCGGCTCATCATCGGTTTCGTCAGCTTTCGGAGGTTGCTCACTGGTACAAACCCATAGACCCGTTTCTTCATTGACCATTTATCCCGATTTAGTTAAAGAAAAGAGATTGATTTGATTTTTGAGTGGAAAAACGACATCAAGGCCAACCCTAAGCTCAACTTTTGAAAACAGATTACTCATAATGCAACCGTAAACCAAAGATGAACATAGTTTCTTATTAGGAGCAAGATTTACAATTTCGACAATTTTAGCAAAGATAATCTGAGGTAGATTTATTTTAAGATTATTTTGGATACAATGTATCCAAAAGAGATCCAAGGCTCAAAGAGTGGAGTATCTTTCTCCGGATGATCGAAACCACCAAGAGATCATTAAATGAAGAAAACGATCATGGAGATCTAAAACACTAGCACTATCCCTTCTTTTATACTGAGAACCTACCATTTGTTTTTCATTGTCTAAGCCTGCATTATTTAATCCTACTGTGTTGGCTATGTATTTCGGGTCAATATAAAAGAATTGTCCTAGAAGATAGGATCGAATTCCTATGGTTGCGGTTTTAGCTCGGTTTTGAACGCAAATGGCATTAGAATAGAAGATTCGAAAGAGTTGATGATAAACTATTGGTTCAAGTTCGAAGATTTTATCAAATTTCCACTCTTGTAGGGTAAGAAGATGTCAAAAATTTATGTCTAGCATGGCTTGAAGAGATGAGATTCGTTCTTCCCATATTTTATAAGACTCAAAGTATTGAGAATACCTAAAGAAAAGATTTTGTCTACGACAGGGTTTATTGAAGCATGAATTACGAATGATCATATTAGGATCATCGGGATTAGGATTAGGAATTTGTTGGATAGGAGGAGGATTTGGAGGTGAGTTTGGTGGTTGGCTAGATCGTCTAGAGGAAGGTCTAGAATGTTTGTGAGACATGACGTAAGTAAATCGGAATGGAAAGAGTAACCTGCAATTTTAAAACACATGTATGCAACAAATATCAATCCCAAAACTCAAATGAGTCCTCAAAATTTCAAGGTTCTCTAAAACAATCCTAATGGGCAAGATTTATGAAAACTATTGAAAAATAAGGTTTGAAAGTCTTAATCCGTATGTTTTTCATGAAAGACAGCATAATTGAATAAAAAACATCAATAATTCTCGAAAATAATAAATATTTTTTAATTTCGAAATTCTCAGAAAATTTTAAAAAATTGTTCGTTTTTTTATTAATTTTTTTGTAAAATCTAATTTCTAAACACTAAACAATCAATGCCCGATATAATGTTCAACTTAGAACTAATTAAAACTAGTCCTAAAATCAAAAATTGATAAAATAGAAGTTTAGAAAAATACATTGAATATTTTCGGATTTGAGTGAGATTGGATGAAGTTTGCAAGATTTTAATGATTCTAGCAGGTTTAGGAGATGAAATACGAAGTGATTCTGACTAGAAATTGATGTTTTGAAGCAATGTAAAGATTTAGGGAGATGGAGAGAGTGAACAGTGGCAAAGAAGAAAAGAGAGGGTTTGAGAGAATGTGCAGTTTGGGCGTTAAAAATAACAAACCCCGTGGGGGGTATCGATTCCTCATACACAAAATGCTAAAATCTGATTTTAAACACTCAAAATGCTAAATTAATTTGCTCTAGTGGTATTGATAACTCATATATTAAAAATTAATCATGTTAACTAAATCAATTTTATCCTTAAACTACATTTGAACATAAAATTAATTTTCACTAAGAATCATAAACTCTCCCTAACTAAAAGCAAAGAATGCAATCAAAATTTATTATTATTATAATCATTTTTCATTTATTCTTAAAAGTGCTAAAATTAATTTAAACACTAAGTGAAGATAGGTCAATTAAACATAATTCTCTCCTAAGTGTCCAAAATCTTTCTTTGTCTAAAGGTTTTGTAAAGATATACGCTAATTGGTGCAAAATATCAACAAATTCTAGAACTACATATTCCTTAGTGACATGGTCTCTAATGAAGTGATGTCTAATTTCAATATGCTT